CCTGAGCTCTTGGGCAGGCACCAGCTGGAGACACAGGGGCCTGCAAGCTGTGGTGGGGACTTGTTTGACAAGAAAGGGACCCTGGCTGTCCCCCCCACCACACACACACAGAGGAGGAAGGCCCTGCAAGCCAGGGCAGGGCAGGTGGCTGCCCCAGATGAGAGCCAGGGCTCCTAGGTGGTGGCAGGGATTTGAACTTCGGGCAGTCTCGCTGCAAAGACGTTTTCTTTTCCTCTCCCCACTGGCCCTTGGTGCAGGGAGTGACAGGCTCACATTCCGCTGATCATGGCATGGAGGCCCCCGGTCCGGAGCCCCTTTCCCTCAGGGCCCCTTGCCCTCCCGTGTTACGCCGACTCCTGCTGCTGAGCGGGATCTGCTTGCCTCTGCTTTTATGTGTGGGTCTGCATTGTCCACAGGCATTTTAATTTATGTAAGTGACTTTGCCTTGTAGAGTTCCTTCTGGATCTTTCTTTTCTCTTTTCCACTGGGCCTGTGCTTTTGCAGATACGTCCACCCATTTGCTCCCAGTGAGGTTCCTACCTGCCACACCCCGCTCCTGGGTGCCACTGCACAGGGCCCTTGGGCCGCTGGCTTGCAGCTGTGTGGCTGTGTGCCCTGCCTCAGTGAGCACCTGTGGTCCTGACCGTGGTCCTGACCGTGGTCCCGACCGTGGACAGGGGCTGCGTTGGTGTGGCAGCAACAGATGGGAGCAGGAGCCGTCTCAGTGACAGCAGGCCCACTGGGCTCCTGGGCCACAGCTGCTCACTAGGCCCCTTCCCCAGCGCCGACATCCTGTGACAATCTCCCGAGTAGGGCCATTGTCACCTCCATTCTGCAGATGAGGACACGGGAGGTTACACAGCACCTTTAGGGTACACCCAGGGGGCTGGCGGGGTCTTGGTAATGACTGGTGTGGGTTGTAGGCCACTGCCATGATGACAGTGGCAGTAATGATGGTGACAGGGGTTGTGGCTAGGTGGTCGGAGGAGCCACGTTTGTGACAAGCATGGGGTGCTGACACTGGTGACCGCGATCACAGTGCTGACAGAAATGGCTGTACCTGGAGGTCAGAGGGGCTCGTGGCCACAGCGGTGAAGACACGGGCAGGCCGGGATAGCTGACTGCACGTGGTGGCAGTGTTCCTCAGTGCGATGTGCCAACAGTGATGGCGCAGTGGCGGTGATGGGGCGGGCCGGGCTGTGGTGGTGTGCTTGGTGGCAGGCCTGTGGGTGGGTGTGGGTGATGCCAGCGACAGGCTGGCAGTGCCCTGGTGGAGACGCAGACAGGAAGAGCCGGGATAGTGAGCGAGGCCTCCCTTGCAGATGTGAAGCTGCTGAACAACCACAGCTTGGTGAAGGATGCGCAGGAGAAGGCCAACGCCGCCCTGCTCGACTACACCCTGTGCCACTACCCGCACTGCGGCGACAAGTTCCAGCAGCTGCTGCTGAGCCTGGTGGAAGTGCGGGCGCTGAGCATGCAGGCCAAGGAGTACCTGTACCACAAGCACCTGGGCAACGAGATGCCCCGCAACAACCTGCTCATCGAGATGCTGCAGGCCAAGCAGACGTGAGCCCCGCCACGCCCAGAGGGCCGCGTGGGAGGGGCCCCGCCAGCCCGCTGCCCCAGAACGCTACTTCAGCCCGCCAGCCCCAGGGCCCCATCCGGGCAGCCCCTGCCCCTGAGCTCTGAAGCTGTGTGTTTGGGAAGGTGGGAGAGGACGGGCAGGGCCTGGTAGAGGCTGGGGGGGCCCCCCGGCTGCCACTCAGAGTGCCCCTGGGGAGGCAGCTGTGCACTGCCCCCTCCCTTGCCCCCAGCTGTCTGTCCTGGAGGCTGAAGTGCAGCCACGGAGGAGGCTGGGGATTCCCCTGTGGCCTTGATGTCCCTTGGGTCAGAGGTCGTCCCCCTTCCCTTTCCTGGAAATGGAGGCAGGGGAAGTAGGCGGCAATGGTGGGCCAGGAGAGGGTCTCCACACCAGGGGCCAGGAGGGAAGCCCTCTGCTCCATCACTAGGGATAACTGAGTTTGCTAAATTGGGCAGGGGCTGGTGGGCCTTACGGGACACTGGGAGACCTGAGGGACAAAAAGACCTCCCACCCCATCCGATTTCTGCAGGGGAGAACTTTGATACCATGTCTGAGTTTCCCTAACATCATCTTTCTATCCCTCTCCCGCCGGAGGAGTTTGGTACAATCCAGTTCTAGCCCCACCGCTCAGCTGCCTGGCTGGGATTTATCTGCAAGGCTGTCGTCCCGTACCCCGGAGGCTTTCCCTCCTCCTTTTCTTCTTGTTTGTGTTTTTAATCTCCTAGACACTCCTTGAAAGGTGTGTGTGATGGAGGACGGGACAGATCTGAGGACTGAGGCTGGGATTTGGGGACTGGCACCAAGTACTGCCCCTGACTTGCCCGGACACTCCTGAGTACCCCACAGATGGTGCTGAGTCATCATTTCTGAGCCCCGTTGCTCACCCTCCACCCCACTAGGTGAACAGCAGGATGCCCACTTGGGGCTGTGAGTCTGTGGGCGGGAATGTGGGTGAACTTTGGAGGGTGCGTGGGTCTCTAGGTCAGGGATGTGCCGATGAGCCCCTCCCCATCCTGCTGGGCTTCTTGCTGCAAACCTTTGAGACTGGGCCTCAGCTCCCGGCCTCCTGGCACTAGGGAGCAGCCTTGGGTGTCCTCTGTCCCCCTCCATCTGCTGTCTGTCTTGCTTTCATGTTGCCGGTGCAGCTTGCCCTCAGCCTGCCCTGTTGGACGAGACTGGGCATCGCTGCCCCCCTGCCTTCCAGTGCCCTGTCTCGTCCCCACCTCTGTTCCCTGAAGAATGTGCTCCTGCCAAGGCTGGAGACCCATAGCCCCGAAACAAGAAGTGCCCTTAAGACTCTCCCAGCCCCCGCAGCCCTGAAATAAATTTTGCAATTAGTTTCCAGCCACCTTTGCCTCTTCACATTTGGGAGCAATGCGGGACCCTCCAAGGAGGTTCTGCTTGGTCCAGGTGGGCGACACGCTGGGATAAAGATGACACGCAGACAACCTTTCACTCAGCTCTGGGGAGACTTCCCCCTGAAGCACAGAGAGGACCTGAGGGGTGGCGTGGCCTGAGTCTCAGCCTCAGTCCCACCCTGGCTGTGCAGAAGCAGCAGCTGTTTGATGAGCACCTCCTAGGTCACCCTTCAGCTCACCCTTCACTCAGCAGCAGGAGGCAGGGCTTACAGTCCAGCGGGAGGCACCTGCCCAGGCCCCTCTCTGTGAGCTGGGGCAGACCCAGACCTGGGCCCTCCCACATCAGCGCTGGCCGCCACATGGTCCCTCTGCCTTGCTGTCACTGCGCTCCCTCCTCGCCACCTCATTGCCCACTTGGTGGCAGCAGTGAGCAGGCTGACATCTGAGGCAGGATCCTCAGCTGGGCACCGGCCAGTGCTTCCCCACCCTCTCCCGTCGCCCGGTCCAGTCTGCTCTTCGCGGCCACTTGGCCACTTCGTAGGTGGCAGTTCCAGATGAGGACACTGAGGCACAGAGGGGTGACGCATCTCGTCCAAGGCCACACAGAGAAGGGGCACAGCCACTATGCACGCCCACCTTGACTGACCAGTCAACCCCAGGGCCACTCCTGGTCCACCCCTGCCTCTGTGCCCGCGAGAAAAGGGCACCCCCCCCGGTGGTATGTAGCTTGTGCCCTCAGCTCAGCAGGGACTCCTG